TTGTGCGCGCACATTTTTGAGTTTCTAATTTATTCCACGTATTATAAGATTTGAAAGAATTCAAACTAGGTTTCTTCATTTGCGTTGAGCGTCAACTACACATACCATACGAGTTCCATGCTAACGAATACTTTTGCTTGCGTTCAGCGTTGAATACACCAAGAGTAACGTTGAGATTTCTATACATTGATTTATCATTTTTATACAAATTAATTAACTATCTATTCAATTGTCAATCACTTATATCACTAATTAGTTTACGTGTAGAATTAAAGCCTTCTAGGTATTTTCCTTTATTCTTTGTTCCATTACATTGAACGATTTATGGAAATTATTCTTCGAAAAACAGGCTAAACAGAGATGCAAATAATGTCCATAATGATATTGATTTTTCTGTTCGCAATTTCACGAGGTTTCACGCACTCTTGCGTCAGCTTGTTTTTAAAGATATGTAATTAACTGTTTCAATATTCAGCCACTTACGCCTTATTTTTGATGTTATTTACTGTTTTTGCTTAGTGTAATAAAATTAGTATTAGGAATATACTTTGTTCCAAAGGGCATTGTGGCGGTGTTTAGTTATAGTTGTTAGAAATAGAATTTATCACTCGATGAAAGCCATTTCAATATTGCTGTAATGTTATATTATAATATTACTAATCATACATGTATGTTTATACGAATTTACAGTAACATTTCAGTATTATTACTAGCTACAACCACATTTTCCCATCTCGTCTGAACAATGTTTCTTCCTCCTGGTGCGGACATTTTTGTCGAGTTTGTACAATTCCCCAAATCGTATTTTTCCTTACTGACCTGTCTTGACATAAAAGATTAATAACCGGAGGTTTTGCCTCCGGCTCATTGACCATGAATTCCAATAAGGAAAATATTTTTTATTCTTTTCTTTCGTCGAAAATGGAAATGGATATCGAAATAAAAGTAGTTTAATAAGCATTATAGAAAACTTGAATCAGAATGGTTTATCGATCGCCAGAAAACATTGTAAATAAGATGATAATTTTATAGAACAAATGCATAATTTTAAAATTGTAACGGAATACTCGTCAGATTTGTTAAAAAATAGTAGCGGGAAGCCATGGTCAGAACGACATCATTGTAAGTACCTACCTCTTCCGATTTGAACTGATTAATATTAATTTTTGTACTTATTCTCTCTTCTTTATTGAGGGTTCTAATTTATTAACGGATCAAGCATCTGGATTAGTTTTAGTTTTTCTTTTCTTAAACATAAATACGAATTTACAAATTTAAAAACACGGTAACAAATTCAAATCTTATATAACTCTCGCAATTAGAAACCGAATAAATGTACTTGAAAAATTAAATCTTCCAGTAAGTCTAACATGGTTTCTTATTCTTTTGGGAATTGAAGGAAACGAGAAAGTAGATAGAGAAGCTAAAGAAGTAACAACCAACCCACTACTCTTGTAATTTCCCAAACTGTCTCAACATTGTGGAAGATTTTTATTACATTTTCTGGTTCAGTCCAAAAGAGTAGATTTTTTGCAACATTATATAGCAAAAAGCACTTCTAAGTCAGAATTCTGAAATACTATCAAGCCAAAATTTGTTTTTGGAAACAGCACCAGATAAAATTTATTTGTCATATTAAGGTAAAAATGAAAAAAATTGTAGGTAAATAATAAATACTTTGCTACCTGGCAGTCAAAATAAAGTTCCGCGAAAATATATAAATAATTGAATCGAAATTTGATCCGCTTGTTGAAAGGTATCAAGAACTTTGCCCTCCAAATGCGCAAAGTGATTATTTCTTTTAACAGCACCACAAGGATAAATGTATCGATCAGGTTATTTGAATAAATACCATCGGAAGTAGTCAGAAAAAAATTGCCGAATTCCTCCAAATAGAGAATTTTTCGAGTCATTCGTTTAAAGGGACATCACCTACCGTTTTTGCAGATACTGGAGCCACGAGCTTAGATTTACAACCCCACGGAGAACGGAATCAGCCACAGTGGCACAGAGCTACGTCGACAAATCGACAAAATATAAAGAAGCAACTGCGGAAAACTTTCGAACGTAATTTTAGGATTGATTAGCATAAATAAATGAAAATTAATTTTTTGGAGCTAAAGCAGAAAGGAAATGGTTTCACTACTAGAGCAGAAAAAAAAATCAAAAACAGAAGGAATAATTTAAGAAGACTTACAGCGCATCCAAGTTTAGCAACCGCACTTGGTATTAAAATCAAAACTCTTTACAAAAAAAAAGGAAAAATGACTGAAGCTGGTTGGATGAAATGGCAGCCAGAATTAAAATTTGATCCTGAAAAATTACATGAATAAGATTGTTTTTTTTACACGTGGGCAATAGAAATAACAGCACAGGAAGCAGAATGAAATGAAGAATACTTAATCATGTCTGCAGAGAAAAATTTGAGAAGCCGGAATGAGATTTTTTAATAAGTTTTACTCATCAATGGCAATTTCTAAGCAATCTCGAAAACCCATACCGTTAGCAATAGAATTACGACTGAGTAATAGAATCATCAGGAATATATTCAGCAATAGAAATTTCTAATAATTGGGTCATTCTACTTCTAGATGAATTTATATTTTGGCATGAGGAAATTTTTGCTTTCGGACAATCGAAAAACAAAAATACATTGAAAACTATTCCAATATCGAGAATAACAAAAAGAGTCGAATTTTGCAAGCTTGTGCAAAAATTTATCAACATTAAATAGTTAGTTGAAAAGTGATGGCGTAAGCTGAAAATGAATGACTGATACAAATTAATAATGCTTTAGACACACTTGAACACGTATTCAAAATCACATCAATGTGATTGGAAATTGAAATGAAAAATGAGCGATTCGGAAAGTGAAAAGTTTTGTGGATTTGAAAAAAATATGAAAAAAATAAATTCTTTTCGAGCAAAGGGGCCGTTCATAAACTACGTCACACTATTTTGCATAATTTTTCCACCCCCCCTACCCACGTCACAAATTTTACATGCATTAGCGCCATTTTTTCTACAGAACGTCACAAAAAATGAATTCCACCCCCCCCCTCCCTCTAAGGCGTGACGTAGTTTATGGACGGCCCCAAATTACATAAACTGAATTTTGATTTGTTGGGGGGGTGAATATTGAAACTCCAATAGTTAAAAACTGTTGATAATTGATAAAATTTTTACTTTGGAAATTTGTTTAAATTCTTGAAAAAATGATATTTTTTTGGTTATAAGCTATATGCGTTCACAAAAATACTATGCTTTGATATTATAAATCTCTTTATAGACCTATAGCAAATCGTATTCAAGTTTTGACGCCATTTTTGCCGCTTCTGTCACTTTCACGCGCGTAACGCCAATTCTGACGGAAAATTGTATTTTCTATATTTTTATAAATGTTATTTTCTTCGCGTCGTATTTACAATTTAGTAGGCAGACGATCAAAACAACACTCATACAAACGAGCAAGGCTTGTTTACACTTGTCAGTATTGCGTCCCATGTGGTACTTGAATTGATTCCAGCATACTAACGTGGTTGTTCATTTTTATTTGTATAATTTTTTCTTATGTATTTCAAAAAAGAAAAGAAAATACATTTTTCTCTTTTCTTTCTATCGCACTATTAACATTCTTAATTATATTAATTGTTAAATATATTTTATCCAGTTTTAAGCGAATTCAATTTTTAAAAAAATTTGCCCGCCATATTGAATTTAAAAATCGGACTTCATATTTGTAATCAGTGACCCTAAAAATCCCTGGGTAAAAAATATTAGTCGAATCGGACAAATTTTTAAAAAATTCGTCCGCCATATTGGATCCGCCATTTTGAATTTTTAAAAACTAAGTTCAGATTCGTAATTTTTCTGTTAGAATAAGGTAAAATATCATATTTCCGTTCATATTTCCTTGAGTCTCATGAGATTCTATGCAAAGTTTGGTCTAGTATTGACACACTTTTAAAGAGTCGCATGAAAAGTATATTTATTCACAATATAAATAATATTAGCTAATAACGAATAATATTGCTAACTGAAGAGTCAATTGTAGTCAATGAAATTCGTTTGCAAGTAAACAAAAGGGCTATTTTAAACTTGCGGTTTCACATTTTATGGACATATTAAAGCTCAAATGTATACAACTTTTTCTTGAAAAGTATCATAGGAAGGAACGGTCGTGAAAAACTGTTTTTAGCACCTTTAACATTGTTTTTAAAGCGTAGCCTGAGAAATATCAAGTGGGAAACATTTACATATTTATATTATACCACCTCCCACTATATGAATACACAGTCAAAAATTGAGTGTCAAATGTATCACGAAAAAACATAAAACAGTTTGTTAATATTAAATTCGCCACAGATTTTTTTTGTCGCCACATAAAAGTTATTTAATTTAAATAATATAATTCATATTTTTTATTAGAAAAATATTTTAGATAAGAAAATACTTTATGATCTTACTTTATGATCTGTTTAAACAGATACATCGTTTACTCATACGAGAATTTTTTTAAAACAACAATTATATTTTTTTCAAATATCTTCATACTTTTTTCTTGTTTAGATAACATGAATTTATGAAAGATTTCAATATGTAATGTTTGCTATAAATTTTTTCTACATGAGAAAATATTAATAAAAATGATTTAAAATTTTTTTTTTTACTAACAGAAGCGGTAGATAGTGGTGCGTTTACATAGGGAAGTAATTTAGTTTAACCAATATCCTGTCAGTCTGGTTTTGTGGTGAATTGAGTTTGTTGAGCGTCAAAGCAGTTTTCCATATAAATCAACACTTCATGTAACATGTTTGCATTATTAATCTCTCAAAAACCTCTTTTATTCTTTTCTATTTCCCCGATATTTGATAGATAGGAAAATGGAACAAAACACACTCTATTTTAATTGGATTTATTCAGTTGCAATAATCCATATTTTATTAACATCAAGTAATTACTATTAAACAATAAATTCTATACATATGTATGTGTATAAGATACAAAAATTCTTATAATTAAAATACGTAATAGGCGGGCTTCGGATAAGTCTATATCATTTTATTAAATTAATAAAATATTTCATTAATATTTATTGTATGGCCCGTTATATAAAAATAGTTTTATAAAAATACAGTTCCCTGAAAGTCTGTTTTATATGAACAGAGAGAGGTATCTGAAGAATCTAAATCGAGTGAATCTTTGGCAAAAGGAAAATTACTATTGTTCAAATCTTTAGATAATTGTTTCTATTTTTCGTCGTGACTGTTTATCACTTCTGCGTGGAATCCATCGTGGTCTGCAACGTATTTTACTGTTCTAATGTTGCCGTTTGGCTCCTTCAGAGTGTACTCTCCGGTTACTTGTTTTCCTGTAAAATAAAAATTTCTATTTTTAAAAATTTAAATTTTCAGAAAGTAATAAGAGTCAATTATTACTACAAATAAATTGTAGATAATTTCTTGAAAGTATAAATTATAATAAAAAACAAATAGACTTGATTTCGGATCGAACCTGGATATTTAAGACCCTAAATTGTGGACCATTACAACTCGAGCATTGTCGAACATAGTAGACTAATTTCGTATCCAAAGATTATACTTTGCATTATTTCCAATATTCGTTATTCCTACATAACTTTTTATTTTAAAGATTTAATTTTTTCACTAACTTTCAAAAAAAAATCAAAGTGTCCCAATATCAAACTATAGTAATAAGATTATTTCCATAATATTAAAGTCCATTACACCGTGAGGAATGCATCCTCCTCAAAAATAAAGTTTTTCAAGAGTATAAATGGAAAAAAAGTTTCGCCAAGACTGAATTTAAAATTGTGATTTTCTACTCTATATTGTTTGAAAAAGTTTTGAATAAGATGGAATGCTTGAAAGCTGATTTCTGAAAGTATAAGAAGCTCTAAATATTTACGTCCTGACCCTTTTATCCATACGGATTCGAGGATCGTAAGGAATTATTGTTATTCCCTGAGCGTGTACACTATCAAGTGGTCCGGGGAATCAGTCTGTCCATCTTCTACTATGAAAAAAAAGAAGAAAAATAAAATAGCTTCAAGGATTTGTTGTGGATTACCATTTCTATGTTCTTTTTGTCCATGGTAGTCGCCTGTATGGTGGTCTTCGACCCCGTAAGCGAATTCGTAATGCGGATTGGCCTCATAGTCTTGATGCTTGTGTCCGTGTTTATCCACCCAAGTGACTTCGTGGTCTTCACCGTGAACTGGTCCCTCGAAGTGTTGAAAGGATCGGGCGTGGCCATCGGCTTTCACGTAGATGAGATGTATAGCAAGTACCATCAAAATTGACACGAACTATCAGAAAATGTTTAAATTATTTATTCATGTAAAACCAGATCATTTCCTCAACTCACTATAATATTCATATGTAAATTTTTCAGTGAAAATTATTCTATTGCTTATATTAATGCTCATGTTAGGTATAGAATTTCTATCACGTTAAATTTGATATGAAAAAAAGAATTAAAAAAAAAAAAAAAAAATTAAAATATAATTTAATTTAATTTAAATTAAAATTTGATCAATAAAACCATAAAATCAGAATGTTAAAAATTTTTTAACTAAATAGTTTAATAAATAAAAATAATTCTATGTTTTAAAACCAAAAATGCTACCTACCTTGCATTAAGTTCAAATTCTTAAATATAAAATTTGAACCCCAAGGATATCGAACCCCAGGCGCATGACCTAATCTAAAATCTAACCTAGCGCTTTATCGTCTGCGGATACCTGACCGACTTGAAAATTTATATTCGGATTGTCTTCAATAACTTTAAACTCTAAAACTACTGAATTTATATAAATTTTTGAAGCGTAACCTCTTTTTGTGCTTTTAATAATTTCGACAAAAATAATTTTACAATATTTGATCAAATATATTTTACAATCAAATAAATATTCAATAAATACGTCCACTAAACTTTTCATCACTTTACAAAAATTTTTCTAATCCGCATAAATTTTTAAGCTCTGATATTGAAAATAGCCTAGCTATTTCCAATGTGCGCAATAAAAAAAATATTCCATCAATCGTAACCGAATTTGAAAAACTGTATTTTTGTTTATAAAAAAAGCGTTACTTTTTATGAGAAAAATATAAACTTTTTGTATTAAACTATATTGAAAATTTAAGGAAGTTCAAAATTTTGCGTAAAATTCAGTAGAAACCCAATTATTTGGAGTAACTCCCGTATATGTCCCTTTGAGACACAAATATGTCCCACTTAGAAAAATGTATGTAATTCTTATGAAAGTCAACCAATTAATTTGCGGTAAATTTCATTCTATTCCGAATAGATACTGCTACAATTAAAAAAATATTAAAATACAAAAAGTATTAATATTTATTTTCAACAATAGGATGAACATATTGACTGTTTTTTAAAACAGTTATGTACATATCAAACTATTTATTTCATTAACATTTAGTGAATAATTTTTTAAAACACCTCGTTTTCAAATGTTTTTTGGGTCACTGATTACGAATTTGGAGTAAAATTTAAGAAATTCCAAAAATTATACATGGTGGATTTAATATGCCGGAATTTTTAAACAAATTATCAACAGATTTTTAAATTTCATTAAAATTGCTTTAAAATTGTTACTCGAGAGTGATCTGAAATTGAAATTTACTGTTCAAAATCGATTACAGGTCACAAATCTTGACCGATTTCAAATTTCTTTTTTTTAATGATCAGCGATAAATTCTTAAGAAAATGGTCTTTTTAGATTTTTTAATTTATAACATTTATAAATAAACAAATAGGGGGGAAAATTATAATTTTTGTAAGAGTAGTTATGTAGAAAAAATAACACAGACACATATCAATAATCAAAATCATATTAAGTAATCGTTTAAAGTATAAACAATTATTGCATAAAATAATTGTTATAAACAATTTACTTGACTATTTAACTCTCGAAACAAATTGGCATCAAGTATAAAGTAATGCATATCATTTTCAATGTTTTTGTGGCCGCTGATCACGAATTTGATGTCAAAATAAAAATTTGACAGTTGGCAGGTGTAAAAATACTGTCAACTATTTTAAAAAGTAAATTTTTCTTAACATAAATGTCAGTAAGAGGGTTTATAATGTCAGTGAATATATAAATTTAATGTCAAATAAGTAACTTGACATTTGACAGCTGTCAAATAACTGACAACTTTTTAGAAACTTCATTTTCTTTGACAAAAATGACGTCTTGACGTAAGAAATAAAAAAAAAGTCAATAACAATTGATATTAACAATTGTAAGTTTTACCAGAAAAATTACGTTTTTAAAAGTTGACAGTTTTTTTGACAGTTGTCAACTACCAAATCTTTAATCAATATTCCTGTTTCTTGATGCCAAAAAACCGCTAACTGTCATTTTTGTCAAAGAAAATGAAGTTTTTAAAAAGTTGACAATTTTTTGACAGTTGTCAACTGTCAAGTTACTTATTTAACATTAAATTTATATTCAGAGACACCAAAAACGCTTTTACTGTCATTTATGTTTAGAAAAACTTACTTTTTAAAATAACTTATAAGATATGTGACCTGTAGTTGATTTTGAACAGTAAATTTCAATTTCAGACCACTGTGCTCAGGAGTTTTAAGGTACACTCTCACCTCACTGCCTGCCTGCCTGCGCAGGCAGGCGCCATAAGAGTGAGAGAGAAAAAACATTTAATTTGAATTTTCTTACTCTCTTACTCCTATGTGTTACCATGTCAACCTGCAGGCAGGCAGGCAGGCAGTAGGAGCTGTGCTAGCGCCTTTATGGGTCACTGATTATTAATCCGTTGTTAGTTTTTGAAAATTCAAAATGGCGGACGAGATTTTCAAAAATTGCTTATTGTTAGATTTACTAAAAAATTGCTATTTAGTTGTTTTTTGGGTCGCTGATGACTAATTTTTTTGTTAGTTTTTGAAAATTAAAAATGGCGGATTTAATATGAATTAATTTTTGGCAGTTACAAAAAACGACCGCCATATTGGATTTGCTATTGTGAATTTTATAAATGTTTAAAATCTGACATCACATTCGTAATCAGCGACCCCAAAAACCCTTGAGTACCAATTTTGAAGCAAATCGAAGCAATTTTTAAAAATCTTGTCCGACATTTTGGATCCGCCATTTTGAATTTTGAAAATCTGACATATGATTCGTAATCAGCGATCGCAAAAACCCCTAAGTAGGAATTTTAAACAAAATCCAACCGCTGGATGGATAACTATGTATTTTTATAAATTGTAAATTAATAAAGGAAAATTTAGACTTAAAATAACTAGAAAATAAAATTTAAAAAAAAATTATATAATATTTATTTGAATTGAAACATGAAGATTGAACTTATTGGCAGACGGAAAAAAAGTACTAGGTCAGAAGAATATTGAATCGTATATAAGCCAGCACATTGCAAGCAAGCTTGGTCTCGAGTATAAGAGTTGCAGGTAAAATCGCATCAAAATTGCAGGCACGTGTTCTGGCTCTCAACAAGTGATCGTTTGTTATCTGTTCAATTTAATGAAGTACTTGATATTAAAAAGAATTAGGTGTAGAAGGCACTATAAATCCATTGAGATTAATTGAAAGAGTAATAAGATAGGGTCAATTAAGGAAAAATATCACTTCACACTTTTTACCAGTAGTTGAAAGTAAAAAATAAAAAGTAAAACTGATGGACTTTTAAACTCTTATTTTTTTTAATGGACTTTTCAGTCTATTTAGATTTAAGTTTTACTTTTTATTTTTATTCCTATTGACAGGAAAATAAATAAATAAATAAATAAAAAGCAATTAGTTACGTAGAGCAATATCACGACCTTTATAAAAAAATTTCTTTTACTAAATTGTAAGAAAACACAAGTACAATAGGGACACTTTTGGAACACTCACTTTGGAAGCCATTTTCAAATGATGCACTTGACGAACGATCAACAGAACTGAATGATCAATTCATAGATAAAGTTGCTTTTATATACGAAAATGTGTTTCGGATTTCCCTTTGCATTGCTCCTGATGGGATTACGATTAGTATTAGGATTACGATATTTAATCTAGCGTCGTTTTGTGGACAAACTTGTGATTGCCATTACAAAATACACTTATTCAATCAGGCAGATAAATAAAATGAAAAAAAAAAAAAAAAAAAGCTGACCGTCCGCTCTGCTCACTCGAGCGATTATTGACCAATCGATTTTGTATTGATTAGAAGAGAAAACTAATAGCCAAGTCCTCGTGATGAAAAGAGAGCAAATTTTTAGGAAACAATACTATTGCCACGACACATACATATATATACGTATCAAAACAAGACTTTTACGTCAGAACTCTCTTTTTCTTTCGAGAAAAAGCTATTTGCCAAGAGAAAAAAAATAGATTGCGTGTAATGCTGACCGTGTAATGGAATTTTCGATTCTTTACAGGTGACCTACACAGTACAACTAACTTCCTTTTTCTTTTACTTAATCATATTCACAAGGCGTGGAAATGGATAAAAATGTAGTCCACATTTTTAAATATAAAAAAAATTTTTTTTTCAATTCAAAGAATGCAGTCGTATTTTCTTAAAGGTAGACAAATTTTGAAATGACTTTCCAAAATTTTAGTTTTTTAATAGTAGGATTATTTTCAATTCTCTAAATAACTCTAAAATTATTATACTTATATCAGGGCTCGAACTAAGTCCGTAAATTCCGTAAAGGTCCGTAAATTTGCTTCAAGTCCGTAAAAGTCATTTTTTTGAAAAAAAGGTCCGTAAAGTCCATTATTTTGATTGAAAAAGCAAGAAAACTTTATAATTTAGAGAATTTTTGAGAAGTTACAAATAATTGCAAAAATTCAATTATTTTCAAATGTAATAAAATTCTTCTCCGAAATTCAATTATGTTAAAATTTTTTTAACAATTCTCGAAAAAATTTCATTTATCTTTATAAAATATATTATATATAATTAAAATTCTTCTCCAAAATTCAATTGTTTTTAAAAATTATTTAAAAATTCTGGAAAAAATTCAATTATTTAGAGAAACAACAAAATTCTTCAAAGGTATTCAATTATTTTTATAAATAGTAAAATTCTTTGGAAAAATTCAATTATTTTTAATATAATTATAATAAAATTTCACAAAAAAAATTCAATTTTTAAAAAAAAATTTTAATAAAAATTTACCCGTTAACTTCTTGAATAAATAAATAAATAACATTTTTCGAAAGAATATCGAATTATTTTATAAATTTTTAATAAATCCTTCAAAACAATTCAATTATTTTTATCAGTAGTAAAATTCATCGTAAGAATTAAATTATTTTTCATAAATAATCAAATTCTTCTCCAAAATTTAATTGTTTTTAAAAATTTTTTTAAAATTCTTCAAAAAAATTCAATTATTTAAAGAAACAACAAAATTCTTCAAAGGTATATTCAATTATTTTTATACATAGTAAAATTCTTTGCAAAAATTCAATTATTTTTAATACAATTTTTAATAAAATTTCATGAAATAATTCAATTTTTAAAAAAAATGTTATTAACATTTTTCGAAAGAATCCAATTATTTTATAAAATTTTAATAAATCCTTCGAAACAATTCAATCATTTTTATAAGTAGTAAAATTTTTCATAAAAAATTTAATTAATTTGGAAATTTTCAATTAAAATTATTAAAGAAACTATTTTTAAAAAAAAAAATTTTTTTAATGAAATTCTTTCCAAAAATTCAATTATTTTCAAAAATAATAAAATTCTTCAAAGAAATTTAATTATTAGGTATATCAAATTTTTTAATAAAATTCTTTGCAAGAATCGTAAATATTAAAATTCTTTATAGGAATTCAATTATTTTCATAAATTATAAAACTCCTTGTCGAATTTCAATTATTTTTAATACAATCTTAATCAAATTCCTCGAAAAATGTAATTATTCTTAAAATTTTTATTAAAATTCGTCAAAAGAATTCAATTATTTAGAAATTTGTGATAAACTTCTTTATGAGA